GGAAGCAAGTGGAGGAAATGAGTGGACAGAGGTTAGGAAAAAACAAGCCAGTGTAAGAGAAAGAAGAAAACATATTCTGAGAGTCTGAGAGTTTCAGGCAAAATTCAGGCTTTTAATCCCTGCCTCCATGTGACTGATACTCACATCACATGGCTATCATTGACACCTAATTAACACCTATTGTTAACAGGGGGTGGAGTGATACTGGCAATAGCAGCACTGTAGGAGGGGGACAACTGAAAGCGGAGGCCTCCACCTCTGTTTAATGATGGACGGCCTCCGTTTTCAGTTGTCCCCCTCCTACAGTGCTGCTATTGCCAGTATCACTCCACCCCCTGTTAACAATAGGTGTTAATTAGGTGTCAATGATAGCCATGTGATGTGAGTATCAGTCACATGGAGGCAGGGCTTAAAAGCCTGAATTTTGCCTGAAACTCGCAGACTGATGAAGTCTCTTGGAGGAGAGACGAAACGTTTCATTAGAGAAGAACCCGTCCAGAAGACCTTCACAATTTTTTTCTTTTTAACTTTTGTTATGTGCTAAAAAAAAGACTGTTCAAACATTTGTAAAAACATTTATACTAGTGAGGCAAATAAGTCTGAGTCAAAGCCTTCTGTATTCAGACTGGTAGAAAATGATTGTACCTTTTTGTTCTTCTTTGGTGTCATTTCTCTCTGTCTTTGGAACAGCCTCTACCAAGGGGAGGATCTCTGTTGGTGTTCCTGTGATGCAGTTAACGAAATAAATGTTTTCCAATGGTTAAGAGCATTTATTTTTAACAAATAAAACTTTTCAAACAAGTCTGAAATGTTTTAAACATCCACTGAACTTCAACAGGTTGTGCAATAAAGAAAGCATTTTAGGTAGACATTCCAAGTCTTGAAACAATTCAGCTCGTTTCTTCCTCCACAAATGTTCTGTTCCTGACTTCAATAAATATCCATCAGTAAAATAAACTACATTAGTTATAAGTGAACCTACCAAGAATGGTCAGAGAATACACATCACAGCTTTTATTTACAAATAAAAACTATTCTGAGTCATCAAACCCTTAAACTGACTTGTCTTTTTGTATCAACTAATCTACTACTACTGTCAGAGCAGTAATGTAATTTTTATATCAAAAATGACAATATCTTCTAAACATGATTATGTAGAGTTTCCAGTTATGTGTGTGAAAATATTTGCTTCTACCTGTTGTAATTATTGTTCCGTTGTCCATAAGGACCACAAAGTCAGCTCTGTCCACAAATTCTATGCGGTGTGTGCAAAGGATTCTGGTTTTTCCTTTGAGAAGCCCCATTATACATTTCTTCATAAGGTGTTCAGCAACATCTGTATCCACAGCAGCCAGTGGATCATCCAACAGATAGATGTCTTTGTCCTGATGGAGTGAAATAAACAGAAAATAGAGAGCAGAACAAAAACAATGTTTACATGTAAAAAGCTTCACTACACAAAAACATCAGAATCAGTTTTATTGTCATTGTCAATGAACAGGATTCACAGACTGGGAACTTGCAGTTAAGAACACCCATTCAAGAAACACACATAAACATGGGGCAACAGGTGAACAGGTCATGTGCAACCAGGTTGTGCTACCTTTAGCAGCTTGTTGGAAATACACAATAGGGAAGTTGAGTAAAAAAAAAGCTCTGATCCTATGTTTACATCAGGAACACAGAATCATTAGCACAAAAAAACCACTCGCGACAGAGCAGACTGGGATGGGGAGGGAGCTTGGGCCAGGTGACACATGAGATTGTGGGGGAGTGTTGCCCCCCATGCAACACAGTTTTGTTCCGTTTTTTATTTCTTTTAACTTCAGATCTGTCAGTTGAACCTGGACATGTTTGGTATCAAAAGAAAGCTAGGAATCTTGGTTAAAAGCTCATGGAAACTYTATTTACATTCACCAAACACAGTTCAAACGTCAAGTTGTTGAATCAGAAAGTAAACAAACTGTAAAAAATGTCATCATTGCAAACCTGTAAATACATTCAAGCAAATCTGTAAAGGAAATATTTTTGACATTATTTTTTTTAAAGCAAGTCAAAGTAGATACTTAAATATGTTGTATATTTTGTTAAAAGCTTTTTTTTTTTTACCTGATTTTGAGTGAATATGATCCAACTGAAGTCAAAAACAGGATTTTATCATTTGAAAAATATAGCCAGAGTATATTAGAATTGATTTTAAGGTTCTTTTACTGGTTTTTAAATGTCTTAATCGTCTTGCACCATCTTATCTGGCTGAACTGTTATTGCCCTATGAACCGCCACAAACCCTAAGATCCTCTGACACTGGACTATTAACTGTTCCAAGAGTCAGAACACACACATACGGAGAGGCTTATTTTCAGTACTATGGCCCTCGTCTGTGGAATGCTCTGCCTGAAAATGTGAGGGCTGCAGAGAGTGTTGCTGTTTTTAAGAGCAGGCTTAAGACACATCTTTTTAAATGTATTCCTTGAACTGTAACTTTCCTGATCACTACATTTTTTACCTCCGCCAAGGGCGAGGTAATGTTTTCTGTCTGTCTGTCTGTGGACATTAGTCAAAAACTTGTGGACGGATTGTCATGACATTTTTACCACATGTGGGTACTGCGAGGATAACACGCTTTTTACGGTTTTGACATCAGCAGAATGTTGCCCGTGGGTTAGCTCTTGATGGACAGAAGGAAGAGCGCAGATTTTGTTTTGAAATACYAGCGACATGACGAGAGCAGTGATAAAAACTGCTCCCTGCAGGAGAAAGGCTAATCTCCACATGATGCTCACACTGTACAAGGTATTAATAATTAACTGACTGATTCTTACTATTTATTTTTGCTCTTGTTTGTAGAGTGATGTTTAATCTATTTACACACTTGTTTTAGTGAAGATTAAGTGCAATGATCACGTTGTTTTGGTTACAGTCAGTAAAATTAGCTGTGGACTCTTTAACAGTTGGACATTGGACAATAATGAGGGGTTTTGTTTTGTCCCCACCTTCAGTTATTCCCACCATAAAGCAGCACAAGGCTGACAGATGG